TTTATATATATATATATATATATATATATATATATATATTTAGCTTTAATTTATTTTTATTTAAGATTTTACTTTTACTTTTAACACTTCAACTTCAACTTACTTCTTTTAGTAAGTCACCAAGACAACATTTATAATTTTTTTTTATTGTTTACAATAGCAACACTGGTAAGTATCATTAGACCAATTTAAACCAATAGCAATCCTGAGACTGATTCATAAGATTCTTGAAAGAACTGCCTCAAAAAGAGTCATTCGTTCACAAATTGTAGTTCATAAATCTGTATTCTTAATATTATTTTTGTATTTTGTTGCAACAAACTGGACTTTCTCTTTCATTTCTTTTATTTATATTGCGTTCATTGATTCATACCAAATAAGATTTATATTATAATCTCATCTCGTCTAAAATTTTAGATTCAGTAGAGTTGCAGGAAGACTATTTTAATGCAGTATTTTATCTGCATCAGTGGAATGTTGCAGATGTTAAAGGACCGTTATTAGAACCTTGAAAATCATTTGGTTCCAGTAGATTTAAAAAAAAATAAAAAATAGAACCAGTTCTTAATTCCCAGTCCTAGTGATATGTGGAAATAGTGTGTGTGTGTGTGTGTGTGTGTGTGTGTGTGTGTGTGTCTCTATTTTTGTTGCAACAAACTGGACTTTCTCTTTCATTTCTTTTATTTATATTGCGTTCATTGATTCATACCAAATAAGATTTATATTATAATCTCATCTCGTCTAAAATTTTAGATTCAGTAGAGTTGCAGGAAGACTATTTTAATGCAGTATGTTATCTGCATCAGTGGAATGTTGCAGATGTTAAAGGACCGTTATCGGAAACAAATGCTGTGAAAGTCATTTGATTCCAGTCTATTTTTAAAAATGGAACCAGTTCTGAATAAGAAACCGTTCTTAATTCCCAATCCTAGTGATATATGTGGAAATAGTTGCGTGTGTGTGTGTGTGTGTGTGTAACTATGTTCCTTCCCTCCCCTCTTCCTTCATCTGTCCATTGTTTTCCCAGGCTCTTAAAATTCTTGAGCTCTTCAAGCCAACCCCCTCCCCTCCTCTCTTCCATCATTTTTTCATTTCTCTTTTCCTTTTTCTGTTTTACTTAAATCAAGGTCTTTGCCAAGGAATGTTTGTATGCAAAGTCCTTTTAATGACTATTAACAGTAATTATGGACGTATTTGATAGTTTAGATTGTATACCATTTATATACCTTGGAATGAGTGTATAGGGCTCTTTTTCTTATTAAATGAAAGCAATAGTTTCAGCAAACGCATATTCATACCACTTTTTCCACCACTCTCTATTTCTATTGCATTTTCTTTGTGTCTGTGCAGCTGATGGCTCCAGTGGTCCAGTGTATGTACCGCAGACAGCCGTGTGAGTGCGTGATGGCGTTTAATGAGAACCAGAACCTGGTTTTTTGAGTGAATGAAGGGAAAAGAGGTGGGGGAGTTTAACAAAGCTGTTGCGCTGCATTTTGAGGGGTTACTATAACACACACATAACACATGACTCTGAACTCTCCATAAACCCCGCCTACACAGGAAGTGTGTGTCCCTGAGGGAGGAGAGGCTTGGAAGGGGGCTGACTCCTCCCACTCTTGCTTGCTCTCTCACTCTCCATCTCTCTTGATTCAAACAGTCTCTCTCTTTCTACACATATACAGAGGAGGACTCATTGTTCCCCTGTGCTTAAGGAGGATTTTACAGACTCACACTGACCGTAAGCACAAAAGTGCACAGAAAAGTAAAATATCTTGTCCTGGACTTACCTTCTGGATTTTCTTTTAATGCCTTTTCTTTTAGTTTTCTGATCTGGAAGGAGTTTACTGTCTAAAGACGTTGGAGCACCATCCATGGATTGTTTGATTGAAGTTTTGGGAATGTTGTAAAAACGTTCTCTCATCTCTGCAGGTGTTCCAATGGAGACAGTTGGAGAACCTGTACTTCAGGGAGAAGAAGTTCTCAGTGGAAGTCCATGACCCGAGAAGGTAAATCTACATTACAGCCTACACGTGTCCACTCACACACACAGGTCATGGACTATATAGGCTTACAAACAATGTGTCAAATACACTGACAGGACATGTTGTGGGTACCACTTTCACTCCAACCCAGCAGGGGTTTGAAAGACAAGTTTGTTTAGATCTCATGAAACATTTGAAAGATCTCAGCATGTATGTTTTACCATTGATTCTTTTGGATTGTCGAGTGGAACAAATGAACAAAAACATACCCTCCTCGTTTTCTCTCTGTCTGTCTGTAGTGAATGAGATGTGGTTTGAGTTCATCTCGATTCTCTGCTTCTCTCTTGTTCTGTCAAAACTGGGATTGTTTCATATCTTCAGTTTGTTCTCTCTCTCTCTCTCTCTCTCTCTCTGTGTGGATTTTAGGATGTGTTTAGGGTTTAATCAGGCCCTCATGACATCATCAGTGCGTGCCGAGGGCTGGTTAGTCTCTTTAGGAGAGCAGATGCTGCCAAAAGCAGCAGCACACGCTGCCTCAGATGCTGACAGACAAACCGCCTCATTCACGCTGTTCAAACAACCACCACGACAGCCCAGAATCGAGGAGAACACAGAGGGAGTTCACAGAAATGCTGGAGGCTGGGGAAATATGACATGAAAGAGAGCAAAACAGTTTAGGAAGATGATACAATCTGTTTATTTTGCAGCATGAGGGACTATGATGTATTTTCCTTCTTGTTAAGTTCACTGTCATTCCTTTTAAGTCAGTACAACACCCGCACATACACTAATATAATTCTGATAAGTGTCAGTGAGGGTCTGCTGTTTATCTTTGTTCTAGTGGAGGGGCCTGGAGGTTTTTATTAAGCCCGTCACAGGACACACACGTGCGCTGGGTTTGACCACAGTGTAAATGGTGTGTGTGTCTGTCTGTGGGCTGTGCTGTGTGTGGTATGTTAAGCTGATACATTGCAGAACTGTCGGGAGTATTATGTGCTAACACCAGTTCACATTTCATATCTCCCACACAATATATATATTATACTGGTGGCTAATAATATGGCAGACAGTAGAATTTAAATGCATTTTTGTGAATTTTTATCATACGTCTCTAGTAGTATCGAAGTATACGCCATCGGTCAAAAGTTTGGATGGTATTCTTGGATGCTATTGAACTACTTGACAAAAATGCATCACAGTTTCGACAAAAATATTAAACAGCACCACTGCTTTCAAGATTGATGGTGATAATAAATATTTCTTGAGCAGCAAATCAGCATATTAGAAGGATTCTGAAGGATTGTGACACTGAAGACGGGAGTAATGGCTGCTGAAAATTTTGAAGCTTTGCATCACAGGAATAAATTACATTTCAAAATATATTAAAATAGAAAACTTTATTATAATAATATTACACAGTATTAATGTTTTTAATGTATTTTTGATCAAGTAAATGCAACCTTGGTGAGCATAAGAGACTTCTTTCAAAAACATTAAATATCTTACTGATCCCAAACTTTTGGATGGTAGTGTTTAAAGTGATTGGAAGATATTTGTAAATTTGAAGATTTGAATTTGCAGAAAAATCTGTTAAAATTTTAAAAGCGTCAGTAAGCTTTATCTTAACATTAGCATAACTAGCCAAGCAACATAACATGGTCACAGGTCTGTTTATTGGCTGTTTTTATGTAATTTTGGTTGTGGTTCATCCAATTTAGAGGAGGTAACGTTTTTTTGACTGTGTATTTATTGAAATGACAAACACAAAGATGGTGTGCGTCTGTTAAAACATAAGTGTTTTAAATGTGTTTGGGCAATAATAAACATTTTGACATCGGTTTCTGCACTGACAATGTCATAAAATTCAGTGAATATAAAGTAGTTTTGTGTTTGATCCAACTGCAGGGCGTCGGTAACGCGGAGGACGTTTGGTCACAGTGGCATCGCCGTGCACACCTGGTACGCCTGTCCCACCCTCATCAAATCCATCTGGGCCATGGCCATTAGCCAGCACCAGTTCTACCTGGACCGCAAACAGAGCAAAGTGAGTGTGCGTTTGTGTTTTCGGATCCGTCTCCAAACTTTCTTTTATCAAAGTGTGTGTGTTTGGTTGATAACCTTGTTCTTACTACATCGACCTTCCTGTGTGTTTCTGTGGTCTACCTCTAACTGTCTCACCGTCTAGACAACCATCTCCGCAATCCTCAGGGCCACATACACTTACACACAAACACACTTATAACTAGCTGTCTCTGATTTTGCTCTAGGATTCTGTTACACTTTTAAAAGCTGCGGAATGTTCTTCTCTTGGAAAATTCTGACACACTCAACACAGCTGGCAAGCACATTCACTCTGTCTGTCTCTGTCTCTCAGAGTAAGATCCATGCAGCACGCAGTCTGAATGAGATAGCCATAGACCTGACAGAAACAGGAACCCTCAAGACCTCCAAACTGGCCAACATGGGCAGCAAAGGCAAAATCATCAGCGGCAGCAGTGGAAGCCTGTTGTCCTCAGGTCAGAGCACGCACACACACTCACATAAAACAGGTGCGATTACAAGATCACTTTCTTCCTGTTTACAGCTATCATCTGGAAATTACGTCCTGACACACATAAAGTGTTGTTCGTAGTTTGACATTTTTGGAGCCACTTAAGTGTGATGAAAATATTATGAGATGGGATGAAAAATTTGAGTTCTCTCGCAAAAGTATTGCGTTCCCCCAAGAAACTTTGTGTTCACTCGCAAAACATTTGTTCACTGCGCAACAGTATTGTGTTGCCCCAAGAAACTTTTGCATTCACTTACAGTCCCCCAAGAATCTTTGTATTCACTCACAAAACATTTGCGTTCTCTTGCAACAGTAATTACATTCCCCAAGAAGCTTTGCATACACATGAAAAAGTGTTGTGTTCCCCCAAGAAACTTGCATTCACTCTCAAAAACCTACGTTCTCTCCAGAGAAACTTTTGTGAAGAGAATGCAAAAGCATTGAAATATAATTTTTTCTCCCATGTCCCTTTAAGAGCTCTGTAGAAATATATCGTTAGTGACGAGTTGGTAATGATCTGGGGCCTGTTGTAAAGGAACTTCAAAAAGGATGACAAGCTTCAGTCTTGTAGTGTGCACTTGGCTTCAAACACTCTGTCCTGTTATATGTGTGAATCCAGTGTTTATGATCTCATGGTGATGATGTCATACACTGGGAGTTTTGGGGTGTGGGCAAGTGTGTAAATTTTCTACGGGGTGAGAGTGAGAATAGCTTGTCTTGATGTTGTTTTTGGACTTCTGCAGTGGTGTCCGGTATCATGAATTAAATGTGCTCATAGCAGGACTCCTCTGGTGTCAGTCATATGATCTCCCCTTTCATCTGAGCCATGTGTCTTCAGCCTCTTAATCATTGACCACACATGAGAGATTAGATCATAGTGGAGGCTTGGACAGTCGCTGCATTTTGGAGTTGTTTGCTTTGGTTAGACAATATGAAAATGAAACAGCATTCACAAAACCATTTCACTTCTGTAATCTGAAGGATTTCCAAATGAATTTGGTTATTTATAGAGAGAAATTGTAGAGTAGGACTTGGATTTGGAGAGTAGGAATGGATTTTATCCATTGGGAATTGTTTGGTGGATCCAGCATGTAGTGAGGTGGTTGGAGGGGAAGAGTTGAGGCTCAGTTATGCCATCTGACAAGGAAAGTTGCTTCAGAGGCAAAGCAATGTTGTACGTTAGAAGTTTTTTTTCTTCTTCTTCTTTTGAAAAGCATGCATGAATTGTGCACAATAAGTCCAGGCACAGGCATTAAGTAAACACACAAGATAAAGTTTGACTTTACATTGACTTTAAACTTACTATTCAGTCTGAAATAATCTAGGGTACACCTTCATTTCATCCACTGGTGGTATACAGCTGTTATACTGGTTTATGTTATTGGTTAATATTATTTTTCCCTGTTTATGCATATTGGGTTATATAAGCAGAAAACAAAAAGGTAGAAGACACTATATTTTGCTTAATGTTTAAGAATAACATGCACTGATGAATCAGTCAAAGTATGAACAGGAACATTTATTAGGAAAGTAAAAGAGTCAGTTTAAAGCAGGGGTTTTCAAACTTTTTGGAGCCAGGGACCCCTTACAGGGGAGAGGATTTTCCAAGGACCCCCTCATAATTATAACAGTGTTTAAGGTTAAAGTTTAATGTGGTTAGGAGGAATGAACATAATATGATTGTTTTATTGGTGCAAATGGTCCCCCATTGTATATGTACTTTTTAATACTACAGCATAATATAATTAATAATATAATTAAATTTACCATATTTTCTGGAAAGCACCAGGTCGGGGGGGGAACATAAGTTGCATCGGTGTGTAAGTCGCATTTTACTATTACTTTCAGAAATAATTTAAATGCTGAATAGGTCTAAGTAAATCTTCTGCTGGATCGGGTATCGGTCAGACGAGACCGATCCAAATCCGATATAGTGCGTATACTATTCTGTAGTGGTCGACCGATATGGGTTTTTTGACAGCCGATACTGATGCCGATATCTTGGAAAGCAGGGTGGCCGATGGCCGATATAAACCCGATATAATTCTATTTATTTTAATTCATATTTAAGAAATTTGAAATCATTTGAAAATGGATTAAAAAATAAACGTGTAAAATAAACATACTTATACTCTAGAAGACAAATTATTCTTCACAAATAGATAAATATTTAATACAAATATAATTAAAAAGGATGTAAACACTGTAACCAACAGGGCACTCAGTATTCTGGGAAGTTTGTGTGCATTGGGAATCATATTTTTTCAAATAAAGCCAAGGTAACACTCATTTTACATACAGCACACAGTGAAAATGACATGAATATGACAGTGGGCAAATGCATAAAGGATCTCACAACTGGATCCGACTAAGTTTGCAAGGTTTGTGAAATTAAATGTTCATTAGTCATTCAAAGATTTGTTTAAATTATATAAATGTGTATTTGCGGAATGCTGACGGCAAAAGAGAAAGTATTATAATGTTTGCCTTTAATAATATTAAAGCAATCGTTATAATACTTTTTTGTATACATTTTAATTCTTTTGTTTAACAGTTCTATCTGATTATTAGATAGACTTCTATCCGTATTAGACAGAACTGAATGACAACAGCGAACAAGAGGGAGAATGTAAGCACTGTGTGCTCAGGCGCTGCCGCAGCAGTTCCCTGCGCCGTCAAAATAAAAGTCCCGCCTCAAACACATCGGCCAAACAGAAAAACTTATCGGCCAGTGCCGATATTTGAAAAATGGCAGATATCGGCCGATATATCGGCCTTGGCGATATATCGGTCGACCACTACTATTCTGTGTTAAGCACCACGAAAGGCACAAAAACATTATAAAGCACTATAACGTTTTTGTGCACTATATTTCAAGTGTTCTGGAGCCGTTCCATTGTTTAATGTGAAGTATAGATTAATATTTAAGACATAAGTTCACGTAAACTCTTCTCTCCGCTGCAGCTGTCTGTCATCCTCAAATTCTACATTGATTTAGAAAAAAAACTGCACTGGGATCAGATCGGATCGGAATTGGTCGATACTCAGAATTTTTGGGATCGGATCGGATCGGTTCTGAAAAATTGGTATCGTTGCATCCGTAGTTTAAAGCATTGTTATACATACAGTACTGTTAAATGTGCATGTGTGTGTCATTGCTCTGTAAAGCACTCAGATGCTGCAGAAATTTCCTGTCTCTTTATATGTAGTGTCTGAAAGGATAGAGAGATTTCACAGAGACGCTCTCCAAAACAGTGTCGCTCTGTTCCAGTGACAAAATTATTCTGTGTTTTTGAGTCGTGCAGTGTGATGCCTTTCTTTGCTTCGTAGGTTCACCACAGTTCTGTCCCTCTAGAGTTCCCATGAACCCCACCCAGCCCAAGTGTGTGTCCATTACTAATTTTCTTTTAACGTCTTTCACTTCACATCCCCATGCTGAACGCTTTCCACTGGGAAGCAAAAATGATGAATTTATTTGGCAACTCACCAAATCCAAACTTGGCAGAGTGGAAAAGCCTTTTGCAGCTAAATTCTCCTGTCACACATACACAGAGGAACTGAGAGACAAGAATTCCCACTCTGGTTCACTCATATGTTCAGAATGATTCTGGAATAATTACTTGTTTACTTTTTCTTATATACAGTGGGTACGGAAAGTATTCAGACCCCCTTAAATTTTTCACTCTTTGTTATATTGCAGCCATTTGCTAAAATCATTTAAGTTAATTTTTTTTCCTCATTAATGTACACACAGCACCCCATATTGACAGAAAAACACAGAATTGTTGACATCTTTGCAGATTTATTAAAAAAGAGGGGTGCTGTGTGTACATTAATGAGGAAAAAAAATTAACTTAAATGATTTTAGCAAATGGCTGCAATATAACAAAGAGTGAAAAATTTAAGGGGGTCTGAATACTTTCCGTACCCACTGTATGTCCCCGATCTTAGTGTGTACAAGATAAAAATGTTTTAAATATCACTAAATATGTTTTAGTCCAAAATACAGTACCATTCAAAAGTTTGGGGTCGCTAAGATTTTTTTTTCTGTTTTTTAAAGAAGTTTTACCAAGGCTGCATTTATTTGATCAAAAATACAGTAACAACAGTAATACTGTGAAATATTACTACAATTAAAATAACAAAAATAACTGTTTTCCATTTTAAAATGTAACTTATTCCTGTGATGCAAAGCTGAATTTTCAGCATCATTACTCCAGTCTTCAGAAATCATTCTAATATGCTAATTTGGTGCTCAAGAAACATTTCTTCTAATCATCAATCTTGAAAACAGTTGTACTGCTTAATATTTTTTGTAAATTCAAAAGAACATTTATTTTAAATAGAAATCTTTTGTAACATTACAAATGTCTTTACTTTCACTTTTGACCGATGTAATGCATTCTTGCTGAATAGATGTATGAATTTCTTTTAAAATATATGTATTACTGATCTCAAACTTTTGAATGGTAGTGTAAGTCATAATATATAAGACTGCCAAATGCCATGCCATATTGATTTACAGTGACAGGACACATTTAGGGTTTCAGTGCTTCTTCTGTAGCCATAGAACAAAGACACACAGACACACACACATAACAGGCTTGACTGGACACTAGTGACACAGCCAGTGACCCCGGTCATATTCTCTCTCTATTACTGCTGACCCTTCACTGATTCCCAGACAGCTGCCTGCCCACACACACTCATTATCCCCTTCCAAACACACCAGACAAATCACATTCCTCTGCAGAGATGCAGGAAGCTGTCCATGATGCTACATAGTATCAGTGTGAGAAAACACACATTCACAGCCTCGACTAATTTCTACAACAGGTAAACAAACATTGGTTTAATGTCTTTAGCATTGTGTCGTAATATTAAGATATCACTGTTGTTATGTAATCCTTCCCAAACTTGACAAAAAATTTAGCTGACTTCCTCGTAAACATCTCGGACACAATCAACTTTGCCTCATGCTCTGATCCACATGGAGTATCTGCTAAACAATGTTGCCCTATTGGGGCCCTTTGTTCAATTTTGTCCTGAATCACACACACTTTGCCCCTTTCATAGCATTTAAATAGGTGAAGTACACACCCTCTTGCTAAGCGAGAAGGTCAGTATGATTGTTTAAGCTGAAGTCTGGGGCTGCTGGTGCTGATATGACCTTTAAACATTTCTGATCTTTGACCTTTAGGTTACACGCACACATTTGGTAAAATGTGACTTGTCAACTAGGCTTGCCGCGATAGACGGTGTTGACGGTGATACCGGTGTTAATTGTCAACCCTAGATTTGATCTAACTTTGTGTGTGTGTGTGTGTGTAGGCTCTCAAGAGTCGGACAGCTCCCAGACCGCTAAGAAGGACATGTTGGCGGCTCTGAGGGCCAGACAGGAAGCTCTGGAGGAGACGCTGAAAAAGAGAATAGAGGAACTCAAGAGCATCTGCATCAGAGAAGCAGTAAGGATCGAAACAACTTGTCACTTCAGCATAACGGCTCTGTTCGAAAACCTGAGCTTACTTGCTGTCTCCAGTCTACATAGGAAGCTATTTTGAAACATTTTAATATGTTTTTATGCATTTTGTTCAAATATACAGTCAATCTTAAAAATCTTTAATGGTATAACAGAATCTCCTAAAGAAAAATCACTTAAGAGGCCTTAAATTTAGGGACAAAAACAATAATTGCGATATGGGTTCTTTATTATAATGTGTTGTAGATGGTTGTAAGAGTGCATATTTGATCTTCCTCATCTTTTTGAATGAGCAGCTGGAATTATTAAAGCAAAGAAAGGCATATTTATAATTAAAAGCATTATGCATAAAGTCATTTTTATTACATAGTTTTATTACATCACATACTCTTAAAAAGCAAGCACACCTTAGGATGCCTAAAAATTGTGTTGTAAATAGTCAAGCCTGGATTTGCTGCTCCACATAGGTGTTGATCAGAGCTAGAATCTTAGTCTCACACACTCATACACACACAACAACAGCTGGATTAAGAGTGTAACATAGTGTGCTGTGTTTCAGGAGCTGACAGGAAAACTTCCGAAAGAGTACCCTCTCGATCCCGGGGAGGAGCCGCCCACCATCAGACGCAAAATCGGCACCGCCTTCAAACTGGACGAGCAGAAGATCCTGCCCAGAGGAGAGGTCAGTGACTGTTTATAGTGTGATTTTAAAGTTGGTACCGTACAACCTCTGAACCCCTGACCACAGCGAATGCTGCACAGTTGTCTCAATCATACACTGCCCTTTACGCCACAATCACACATTCATGTATGTGTGCAGGGTTCTATAAATAGCTCCAGTCTGGCATGATCAGAGGAAGTGGCGATAGTGCAGTGTACGTGTTGAATGTCAGCCAAAGGAGCTGGATTACAAAATCCAAAAAAAGAGCTTAGCTGTGTGAATGAAGAAAGCTGATTTATGTAAGAGGTCACAATGTCATCTTTGCCTTTGTATGTGTGTTTTTACATGACTGATGATTGTTGATTTTGGGTGATTAATCGAAGGCATTGATAAGAGGCCACAATATCTTAGCTGTCTCAATGTGTGTGTGAGAACTAGACAACTTGGCGCCCGTAGTTGTCTTGTTATTCTGATGGAGTGTGTTTTGCTAATTTCAACAAAGGACAATTTGAAGGATTGTTTTTTGTTTTTTTGCTTAGTTTTCTCATTTTGTGTGTTTACATCTGTTTTTTTAGGAAGAGGAATTGGAGCGTTTGGAAAGGGAATTTGCCATCCAGTCTCAGATAACAGAGGCAGCGCGGCGGTTAGCATCTGATCCTCATATCAGCAGCAAAAAGCTGAAGAAACAGAGGAAGACATCGTATCTGAATGCTCTGAAGAAGCTGCAAGACATCGAGAACGGCATCAACGAGCACCGCGTTCGCTCTGGGAAGAAACCTACACAGCGTGCCTCTCTAATCATAGAGGGTGAGGAATTCTGTTTGTTGTGTTTGTTGAGACGTTTTTGCAGCGCTCCTGTGAGTTCATTAAGTGTTTCCTCTGTAAAGTCTTTCATGCTGAGAGCAAGAGTAATCGCACCTCCCCATAGACCTATAAAACTGTGAACGCATGTGTCTGTGTGTGACCTCTGCTGTGAAAATTCATTTAACGCACTCGTGTTCACGCTCAGGTTGCATTCCTCACACTCTAGGTACGGACCAGTCAGAAAATTTGTGTTGGTATATGACTAGTGTGGTGCACATTTAAATGAATAAATTATGTTTATTCTTTTCTCTTTCTGCAGTAGTCACAGGCGGTTCCCCAGCACTGGCTGCTGTGAGGTGGGAGGTAGCAACTCTCTCCAGAACAGCCCTGTGCGCTCCCTCCCTCACTGGAACAGCCAGTCCAGCATGCCCTCTACCCCTGACCTGAGAACACGGAGCTACGTCCACTCGGCCAGGTGCCCATCATCTATGGGTTTTATTTAACATAATATTTACATAGTTATATTCTTAGGCTATATAAATTAATTCTTATTTTATATGAATGGTTCATGTTTTAATTCATTCATATTTTATATGATGTAATAAATATATAATTGCATTTCATATAAAATTAAAACCAAACATAAAATCAATATGCAAATTCAAAATCAACCCTATTTACTGTCACAATACTCATCATTTATTCCAAAGAAAAATAATGTTTGTGTTTGTAATCTTTCTTCAAAATGCACTACCTGTCTTTTTTTTATTTATGTTTTTTAAATGTTTTTGAAAGAAGTCACTTATTCTCACCAAGGCTGCATTTATTTGAACAAAAATAGATATTGCGAAGTATTATTACAATTTAAAAGAACTGCTTTCTATTTTAGTATATTTTAAAATGTGATTTATTCCTGTGACGGCAAAGCTGAATTGCCAGCATCATCACTCCAGTCTTCAGTGTTACATGAACCTTCAGAAATCATTCTATGCTGATTTGCTGCTCAAATATTATTAGATATTACTGGTGCTCAATTATTAATAATTGTTCTAATTATTATAAAAACATATCTTATTACTATAAAAATTTTGCTGCATTTATTTAAAATAGAAATCTTTTGTATCATAAAAATGAACTGTTGTTGTATTTCGATCATTTTAATGCATCCTTGCTGAATAAAAGTATAATTTTTTTATAAATATAAATATTTAAAAAATAAATAATCCACTAAAATTAAAAAAATTTTCTTTCTCAGTCTAACTCAGCCATTCCGTGGCCGGAGTTCCAGTTTGGAGTCTCAGGGGAAGCTGCTATCCTTGGAGGCGGACACAGAGGCGGGACTTAGCCCTGACCTGTTTCTGTCAGGACCACGGAGGACAGGAAGCAATGGCTCTGTTGTCCCCGACGACTGCTCATCTTGCACCAGCCAATCCAGTTCAGAACATTACTACCCCTCATCCACCTCCAACCCTAACTACTGTACGCTGGCCGAGGACTCGCCCTCCAAAGCCCGACAACGGCAGCGGCAGCGTCACAAGTCTGCCGGACACCTGGGTGCATCCAGTTCTGGCAGTATGCCCAACCTAGCGGCCCGCAACGGGAGCACCCACGGAGGGGTGTGCGGAAGCCATCAGGGCGTGTACCTCCACAGCCAGAGCCAACCCTCCTCACAGTATCGCATCAAAGAGTACCCACTATACACAGAGGGCAGTAGCCCCAACGCCGTGGTTGTCCGCAGCCTGGAGAATGACCAGGAGGGGCACTACAGTGTCAAGGCACAGTTCAAGACCTCCAACTCATACACAGCTGGGGGGCTTTATAAGGAGGGGTGGGGCTCCGGGGAGGACGGGGAAGTGGGTGGTGGCAGCGGGAGGTTGACGCCCTCACGCTCACAGATTGTGAGGACTCCATCTCTAGGCAGGGAGGGAGGAGGAGGGGGACGGGCAGCGGTGTCAGAGGAGCTGCGGTGCTGGTACCAGCGCTCGTCTGGATCGCTGAAGGAGCA